GAGCTGTAGATTTTGTGAATAAAGCGAAGAAAGACGATCACTTCAGCAGGTTCCTCGGATAAAAATCATACAGAATTATTGCTCTAAAGAAATCAAAAAGCGAAGCAAACTCTAAATTTAGTAGTGATTTATAATGTTAACGATTACGAGGCTTTTTGCATTTCGGGTCATGTTTCGCTTGTTCCAAAAGTGCAGTGTATCAGTGGTTTTTGATCAGTTGCTAGATAAACAAAATTGATAAGAAAATGTAAAAAAATGTACAAAAAATTTGATGTGTGCAATATAACTTTTTTTAAAAAAAAACATGAATATTAAGACTAAACTAACTTCTTCATTTTCTGCGCTGATTTCGGCGTTCGCTTGTGAAAGTTTCTCTAAAAAAAAAAAAATGTTATTCTCAGAAATAATTAAGCACAAAGATCGAATATGTTTGACGTAAGAGGATAATTTTTAACAAAAAACTTAAAATATTCGGGTCAAATATTTGAAAATTTGGAAAAAAAATTGAAAGCCAGTTTCAAAAACAGCCTACCTAAAGTCTTTGAAAAGCGGTTTCTATGAAAGATTTTTTGAAAAAATTTATTTTGTTTGAATTTTGGAAAATGTCCGGAAAAAATCTAAGTACTTGAATTTTGATTCTTAATATTTGAATACTTGAATTTTGGAAAATGCTTGAAAAAAGCAAAAAAAAAACAGGCAGTCCTGATATTTCACTTTAAACTCTTTTTTAAGAAAGAAAAAGTAATATACCGTTCTCTTTGGCCAATGCTCGAACAGTTTCTTCGTTTTCTCGCATTGCTTGCTCAGAGAGTGTTTCTTTTGCAGCAACTTCTGCTTCAAGCCGTTGTATCGATTCCAGCAAAGGAGCATTGGCTAGAATAAAAAATTTCGCGATGGATTTCTACTGCGTCGAATTACAACAAAAGATTAAAAGCAGGTAAAAACCCAGAAAAAAAAATTCAAAAAAAAAATTCGAAAATTTAATTCAGAAAAAATCCAGAATGCAAACACATACCAGAAGCTATCGTTTCGGCAGTATTCTTTTGCGTTTCCATCATTTCTCCGAGCCTCTGAAAAATCGAATACAGAAAGTGATTGCCCTTTTCAGTCAGTCTTCACTATGAAAAACGAAATATGGTCCTACACAGGAAAAAAGCAAAAGAGAGAGAGAGAGAAAGAGACAGAACCCCTGAGCTTTCAACGAAAAAAATTTCAAATTTTAAAAAAATTTCCGTATTCACTTTCACTCAAAAACGAGGGCACTCGAAAGTAGTCCGAGTTGTAGTCATGTGTTGGTGCCACCCTCTTTCCGAAGAATATACCAAGTACTCATTTATCATCGAAATGAATGAACGAATCGTAGAAAGACTGGCTCCCCTAATAGCGCAGTCGAACATCAACATACAGTCTAAGCAGTATCACCTGCCACCATAGGCGGATTTAGGGTGGCCTCGCGCGGGGGTAGGGGAACTAAGCCTACTGATACGACGATGTTCGGAGGAGGGGAGGGGGGAAGTGAGGCTTCTGGTGGAGTGCGGGGAGGAGGGGCGAGGGGCAGGGGAGGGAAAAGGAACGGCCGGGGATGCGGAAGAGAGTTTTCTTCAGTTTTAGCACTGCCACCTGTGCCCATCACCCCCTTTCTCCCCCCTCCCCTCCTCCCCTGGATCCGTCAATGCTTGCCACGCGTCATATCCGCCAGCTTCAAGGTATGCCAACAGTGCTAACGAGTCAATCACAAGTGAATTTGAATGTATCATAAAGATAATCGAAACTAATACATGTGAAGACCGTACAGCTAATTTAGCAATGGCATATATGTGTTGATGTAAATGTATGAAGAATTTTGGATCTAACCAAACAATGAAAAGGCCAACATTGCAACATTATTCAAAATACTCAATAACAGTTGCCAATGTCAGAAAAAAACAGAAACACGAAATGGTTCCAAAAAAAATTAGTACGAACCCTTTCCAACGAATCAATGTAAGTTGCTTGGCGTTCGTTTTTCTTTTTCTCCTCTTCGAGGTCTGCATTTAATCCTGGAAAAAAAAAAAGGACCACATGTGTAACAGTGGTTTTAGTTTCACAAAAAAAAAAGAAATCACTAAATATGCACCATTATCGTTTCTGATTCTTCTGGAAAGAAAGCAGAATTTTGTAAAAAAAACCATTAAGCTGGGACCCGAAATTCCATGCTGATTTTGATGAATACCAAGAATAACTGGCTACAAAGAAAACCCAAAAAGAAGCCAAGGTAGTAAAAAGGATGGAGAATAAACTTGAATTCTGGTGGCTAAAAAAGCGTAGCTTAGTGATTACTTCCAGGTAAAGTACATTTCCGTGAGTTTTAACAGTTTCATGCGAAAAAATTTAATTTTTTTGGTGCTAAACATTCTGAAATTTCAAAAAATCTAAAAAAAAAAATGCTAAGAGCAACTGAAAATTAGTAGCCCTGACCTGATCACGTATTAATAAGTGGTACTTTCAGGAAAATAAAGGCCCACTCTAGGTCCCTTCCTCCGAAAATTTAGCGCATATACATCGGAACAAGCTGTGGTAACTCACTGGAAATATGTAGCTCAGGATCGAAGGGTCTGGCGCAGTCGCACATAAATCAATTCACATTTACAACAAACACACTCTGACTTTTCAGGCTATTTTAGTAAACCAAAACAGGACGGGCGAGATCTAAAAACGTTTAGAATGCATATTTCCGATGTGAAAAAATTTCTCTACAGCCTTTATTTACTTTAACCAGCTTATTATATATTATCGAAGAAATTCGACCTCGAGTGACCTCCTCGACACTTTTCGATGACATCTCCCGTTCTTCAGCTTTGCTTGATACTTCCGCAATTACAGTTTCCATCCGCTATAACACAAAAAGGGGTGATTTTAATCAACTGGTAAATTTATTCCGCCCTTGACTATTAAAAAAAATCATGAAAAATCAATACGAATATCTGAGAAGTATTAACTGGAAGTATCTAAACCAACGCAGTAAAAAAGAGCATTTCTCACTTTTTTAGGATTGCAGCTGATCAGAGTGAAAATTCCTAAATTAACTATGCTCCTGACAATCCAAGCAGCACCACTGTACCCGCTTTCGCCGTAGAAATAAAAAAAAGTCCTTTAAACGGTTTGCAAAAAAAAAAAAAAAACATTACGCAAGCCAATAATTTCTTTTTTCAAAAAAGCTAGTGAGTATGAAGTCTAGTAAGTACGTAATCTAGTAAGTACGTAACCTTTCCGGGAACAAAAGATACGTGAGAATCGCTAGAAAACCGAATAAGCTGATGAAACGTTGGTCAAAACAAACATGAAATGAAGAATACGTACTTAATAGACTTCATACTATCGGAGAGCACAAAGAATATGAAACTTACGTCAACAGTAAAGTAGGCTAAGCCGTTTTAAATAGTAATTTCCTCCTAATAATTGGAATTCCCCTCCAATAATCTCTCTAGAAAACGTGATTTTTCAACATAAACTTTTATTTGGGATGTCCAAAAAAGAAAAAAAACAAAAAACAAACCTTCATTTCTTCATAAGCTAATTCACGGCTCGTTTCAGCTTGTTGAACATCCGCCATCAATCTATTGATCTTATCATCTTTCCTTTTCAGATCCGATAACGCGCTTTCATTCGCAATTTTGATCTTCGCCAAATCCGCTTCCAGTGATTTTATTATTGCTGAAAAAAAAAAACTGCCACGAGTTGTACACAGTTTACTTCGAAATTTAAAAAGTTACTCTTCTTAAAACGGTTGTGAACCATTATTTGCTTAACTGTGCCAACGTATGATGAAAGAAAAAAATATAGGGAAGGCTGCCAGTGCGATGAAAATATCTCAGAAAACCCGCAATGAGTCGGCAAAGAGTTCGCCATAAAGAAAAAGTTATACACTGCCTGAAGGAGGTATCCAAGCACATACACACACACACACATGCACACACACACACGCACACACACACACACACACACACACACACACAGTAAACGTGCTATCAGGCTGACCCTGGAGCATAACAGCAGGTGGTGTAGTGGGTAGTATGTTGCGTCCTCACGTGAAGGAGAGTGGTTCGATTCCCTATCGGTCCATAACCATTTTCGAAAAGGGGTTCTTTTCACGACAGCGCAGGCACGCACAATATTTCATTTGGAATTATCTGAATGAATTGGGTCCAAAATGGAGAAGAATGGAAAAGTTGCCAGCCATAACAATGGCAAGAAGAAAAACGCATTTGCTTTATATTTGTACATTTCACTTTCACTTACATCACTCTAAATAACACGTTTAATCTCTCGCGAAAACATGCATATTTGCATTGGGCCTTAACAAATTTTCGTCTTTTTGTGCAAATCATCCGAAAATAACAAAGGTATTTTTGACCTCACTGACATTAAGTACGTAATTGAAACACGTTACCACGTAGTTTTGTAGTTTCTGCAGTAAGAGCACGCATTTCTTCTCGAGCAAGATCTCGATCCACTTCTGCTTGTGCACCTTTTTTTGCCAACTGCTCTTGTTCAGTCAGCAATGCTCTTAGCTTTTTTAGCTCTTTCGTCAGTTTGCCATTTGTTTCAGCCAACTTTTCACCTATAGCAATAGCAACAGTAAACATCAGCATTTCGTATAAATGTGAAAAATTCGTTCCTAAGAAAAGATGGATCACCCATGGCTATGTTAGGTAGCACAACTTCATTCAAATTCCATGTAATCCAAACAGCGCATTTCACTCTCTCCACTGAACTTTGCTGTGAGGAGATTGCAGATTAGCTTCAATCCCAACACTGATATCAAAAAACTCATCCGGAAGAACGTTTACTCCTTGATTCCTTACCCGCAGCTTCCGTACTAATGAATCCTAAACCTCCCTTCTTATAAGTTGCTATTTCAATTGTTACGACCTAATCGCCCAAATTTTTTTTCAGGCCCCCCTTCCTCTTCTAATCTCCTAGCCAGGGATATTCGTTGTTTGTATCTCTAAAATTTCTACAACACATTTAACACAAATCAGTGCAATGGTTTTACCTTCTCGCAAAAGGTCCGCCAGTTCGGCTTCTTTGTCGCCCAGTTTCTTCATAAGCTTCGTTTCAACTGAGCTTAAAAACAACACAATTTTTTCGATTAAATCAATTTTCAATTAAAAATTTACATTATAGAAACAGATTTCACAAAAATTCCAGTACAATTATAGCCCACTGATTTCTGTCACGGCGAGCAATGAGCGTTGTTTTCGAGCTAAAGACCAATAAAACACCAATTCCCGCGCTCATTCGTTTCGATGGTAAATTGGTACAGGCATATGTTGGAGAGTTAAACCTGTCATCAGGTTACTTCTAAGTAACCTCTGAGAGAACAACTGCCAGAAAGACGGCTGTTGTTGGTACCTGCCATTACTCTATAAGCTTCGAGTGCTACCTCTTATTGTGAGGAGTTAACATGGAAAATTCGTTACCAAGTCAATAAAAAATGCCCAAAAAGTGAATATCATCAGGGCAATCGCTGTTGAAGCCCCATCGGTGATGTTACTGGAATGCTCCCACACGCCAAACGCATTTATGTCTGGCCCTCTGACCTTGATCCGCGTGCCTTCAGTTTGTAATAAATTGGAAAAACAATGAAATATTTGAAAAAAAACAACCTCTGCTGTGTTCTCACTGCTTTCAGTGCAAGAAGTTCTTTGGATTTTGCTTCAAGTTTTTGGTTCTGCAGCTGAAGATCACGGATTCGCCTCTCCTGATACAGAATTTGTGTTTTTAAATGAGCAATTTCTGGTTGTTTGCAGACCAAACTGCTGCCCATCTCTTTCATCTGTAAACCCAAAGCACAGAATAACCTCAAATCTGACAAAAAAATAATGATCAAGCACCGGAAAAGAGCGCCAATGAAGCAAAAATGCCTACTGAAGCCCCTGTGAATTTGAATGAATGTACACCAAACTGAAAACCATACACACAAAATTCCGGATACAAATTTTCACGGGGCCGTACGTGGTAACCACTCATAAGAGGGGGCTGAATTTGGTAAATTTAAGTTGCAGATGAGTTGCGAACATTTCCTGAAAGTTTCAGCCTCCCAGATTCTCAGGTTCCGCAGTTGGCCATTTTTTCCGCAGGATGCATATATTTTACATATTTTCTCATTTTTCAAATTCAAGATTTCGACCTATCTATGTTTTAAGGCCCATATTGGTCTACTCTTCATCATTTACGGTTCGACTTACCCCCTCCCCCCCCCCCC